GGTAGAGCATGGTGCTTGCAACTTCAGGGTTGTGGGTTCGTTTCCCACGGGGGGCCAGTATGAAAATGTATGCACTCACTAACTGTACGTCACTCTGGATAAGAGTGTCTGCTAAATGATTAAAATGTAAAATGTAATGTCTGAGGTCCAACATTCAGCTCATTTTATGGCCAATGATAAAATGCAGAACATTTAGTATGCTGTAGCATACCTTCTCGGACTCCTTTCAAATGGTGTATTATTATCCGGCTTTCGAAAGGAGACAATCCCCTCTAGAGTCTGAGCCAGTGATCTGATGTGATGTCTAAATGGAAGGAAACAGGGTGTGAATAACAAAGGAATGGCCCTTAGTGTCTGGACAGTCAGAAATACACCAGGCATCTGATTCAGACCTCATTAGTATTCTTTGAACAGGGAGCAGAGCTGAGCTCACTGCCCTCTTGTCATTACATTGGATTTACGAGACCCTTCACTGAGGGAGGGCTGTATGAAAGGTTTACACAGTCATTCTACATGTCACTCATTGCTGCTTTCAGTCAACAAAACACCAGATTCTAGTGCTTGGCATAATGCTCATGTGAACTTTGCAGGTGATAACATTTTAGAAGTGGGTAGATTATTTTACTGATAAAAAGTCATTAACTGCTGTTCATTACAGTTTAAAGAGTATTCCCAGATTCATTTTCGACAACCAAATGTGAATGCTTGGAGATAAAGGCTTAAAAGGTACATGATTTCGCTAGAACGGCGCTATAGCGAGCTGTGCATAATGTTTGGGTCTTTATTAGTGCGCTGCACTAGGCCGTGCCATGTCAGAGGTGAGGGTAGTGGTGAATGGAGGCCGTGGGACCCCCTTCCTGCCTTGTACGGGACGCCCCCCATTGAGGGCGTTGAGGCGGAATGCTCCAGCTCTGCAGGAGGGGCTTGGCTTTGTCTCTGGGTCACTGCCTTCAAGAACAACTGGGATTCCAGGGCAACCAAGCCTGTCTGAGAGAGACAAGACTGTTCCTCAAATCTGATCTGAACAAACACTGCTAACCCAGAGAAATGGACAGAGTGAGACAGAGAAAGGTGAACTTTGTTTTTACTTTTTTGTTTATAGCCTATGTGTGTTTGTGCACAGATGTCTCCAAAGCCTCCTTCTCAACACTCGTCCTCACATAACTTTTTTAAAGTTTTTTTTTTTCAATTTCGTAATGATTCGGCACATCTCTTCTCATTCCATTTTCTCTCAATTATTCAGTGCAAATTGTAAATGGAAGTTATTACTTTTGGCCAAGTTGTGATGTTGGAGAAATGGAAGTTGAACTAATTTGAGATTATCCAATTACCCTCTAGGCTGGAATTAGCGTTAATACTCTGGTTATTAGTGAGTACATAACCTCTTCAAAGTTGAAGTGCATAATGTCCCCTCCTCCTCCTTATACACACACACACAGCTCAGTGCTCTGTGGTGATGTCTTAGCATGGAGCACATTCTAAGATACAAGTATTACCACAGAAAGTTGGCAAATTCTCCCAAATACTTGGGACTGGTGGCTATTATAAATTAGTAGGTATTAGACACAAGCATAACCAGACTGGAACCAGAATCCAGGATGGCACACATGCCATAATTAAGTCACAGGGACAGGGTTGACATTGCTGCTATCCCTGTTCTACAGTATCCCAGTTAAGCCTGAAACCTTCTGCTGTGAATTAGAATGAGACAAAAATGGCCAGAGGAAACAGTATCAACCAATTTCACACTTTTCAGAAAATTAATCCAGAGAGAGAGAACGAGAGAGGGAGAACACGTCTAATGAGCTCCAGAGGTATACACCTGGACATCAGTCTTCTCAGTGAGCTCACAGTGGGCTATCTTGGCCCTGCCGTGTGTGTGTGTGGAGAAGCAGGCAGGGGGAGAGGAGAGCGTGGCCAGTCTCTGAAATGAGAAGAGCCCCGGGCTCAGATCCTATCAAAGCTCTCACACGTCCAGGAATCACAAACGAACAAATTCCAAATGCTGCGCTGATTGAGAGTGGAACTGGCGGAGGCTCTGGGAGAGGCCTGATAAGCCGAGAAGAGAGGCAGGCTGCTGACCCAGGGTGCCGTGCAGCGCTGCTAGCAGGAGGACAGCCCATCTCGTGTGGTGCTGTCTTGTCTTCCTGACATCTTAATGAAGTTCACTCCTGTTTTGTTGTTTTGGCTGTTCTTTTTGGGGGTTAGGGTTTGGTATAGGATTTTTGCTCTGGTAAGCATGTAGGCTACACAGTTCTCTGTGTTCTTTCTTTGTCATGTTTTGTCACGTAAAAACATCAGGGATAGCTACACGTTTTAATGAAATTATATTGTCCTATACTGTTTTTACTATTATGTAAGAACCTAGACAATGCATGTATAACAAACGGTAAATCCCTCATGAGATACAATGACACATCCACTTCATTATAAGGATTGAGAAGGCAGAGGGAATTTACTTTAGTGGCTCATCCCAATTTAACTAGCTTCTTCTGTGTGACAGTGCAGTCCGGCCTGCTGCTGAAATTAATCACACCAGGTTAACATACTGCAGTAGCCTGGCATAGCAGCTAATCTTTGAGTGGAGCTCAGATTCTTCTTCTTGATGAATTAAAGAGGGGCTCAGTCCTAATGAAAGTCCTATTCTGCTCGGTCGGGCTGTGTCCCTGTCAAACAGACTGAGGCAGTAATAAATTATCGCACACCACTGTCAGGCTGGAATACTCTCCTCCTGGGTTTTTGTGGAAATCCACAGACACACTCATCCAGTGATCTGATGGTGTAATCATCTACAAGATTATGGTATCAGGGCTGATGTAGCATGAGGAGGGAGTTTGGATCATCTTGGAGATGTACTGTATCCATCTACTTACAATAAACCCCAGCTTGTGAACATGAAAGAGAGATGGGGGGAAGCAATAGAGAGAGATGAATAGTGTAATTTAAGTATGTCTCATCCCCTCATTTACTTTGTGTGTGTGTGTGTGTGTTACAACAGTGTGCTGTGTACAAGCAAACTGTCATATAGCCATTGAAAAAGAAATACTTTTCAAAGTCAAATCCAGACACCTCTATAGTTAACCATATCCTGTCTCCGTCTGTGTGTGCAGGTGAATGGGAAGGACCTGTCCAAGGTCACACATAACCAGGCGGTGGAGGTTTTCCGCACGGCCAAGGAGCCCATCATGGTCCAAGTGCTTCGCCGGGTCCCCCGCCCCAAACCCTCCATCCCTGCCTCAGACACCCAGGTGGTAGACATCAGCACCCAGACAGACATCACCTTCCAACACATCATTGCCCTCACCAAGCTGCCTGCCGCCGCCCCCACCGTGGCTGTACTGGAGCAATACCTAATGCCTGAGGAGTGAGTTACAGCACACTGTCCTATCGGCTGGGTTAGAGTGAAGGGGAGGGACGGGGTTAAAAGACAAGATGATTCCTTTCCTTATTTTCTTTCATTCATGGTCACTGATTGGAAAATGACTTGATAGGCAAAATCAGTCTGTTGAAAACTACCCAGTCAGTAAAGAAAAGGCTCAGGTAAAGGAAGAATATTTGGATACAGTGTCACTTTGCCAGTTCATTAAAACAGAATGTTCTAACTAAAGTTCATGTGAATGTTACAGCTGTCACTTAGTGAGATATCAGGTCCTGGGGCACATGGTTAATGAAGATGGCCTTGTTAATTTGTGTTAGCATATTGAATTACTACCTGTCTGTCGTCCACAAGCTGTGTGTCTTTGTGGCCTGGAGCTCACGGTCTATGTGTGTACAACATTATTGGTAGGAGCAGTTGCTCTTTAATGGTCAATCATTATTATTTTAATTGGTTTCAGTCAAATTAAAAACATAACATTTTAATTTCTGATTAACCTCAGGCCAAAGACACTTCATAAAACTTGATTTAAGATTCCACTTTTACAAAATAATGTGGGCACTTGTTTTCCATTCTCAAGTCACAAAAAAAAAAAAAAAAAATACATTGTAAAGTGGTGATCCCACTGGCTATAAGGTGAATGCACCTATTTGTAAGTCGCTCTGGATAAGAGCGTCTGCTAAATGACGTAAATGTAAATGTAAATGTAAGTCATTTCAAATGTAGCAATAGAATAAGATCTAACTGAAAGTTCTCACTGGTAACACTGTAGGAACAGATGAATCATGACAAGCCTTGTAAACGGTAGGAACAACAGTGTTATTAGTTTCTGGAGGTTGGTCTATTTCCTATATAACTGTCTTTATTGTGTTGAATTGCTTTCATAGGCATTCCCCTGGGCACGAGTACTTTGACCCCAATGATTTCCTGGAGGGCATGCAGCTGGAGATGGAGCGAGAGGAGCTGGAATATGAGGTAACAGACAGACGACTCCTCTCTACCCATCTCACCCTCTATTCTTCTCCCACTCTCTCCTCCTCTCTTCCTCTCTACCCATCTCACCCTCTCTTCTTCTCACACTCTCTCCCCCTCTCCTCCTCTCTACCCCTTCTCTCCCTCTCACCTTCTCAATGAAGATATACATTAATACATCCAACACTATATCCCTCCAGCCGTGTCTTCATCCCAATGGCTCTGTTAGCCACCAATAACTAATGCCCATTCTCCCAATATATCACCGTTATTGATGATCTGAGCCCATTCTAGTCCCGTAACGACACTTTAGTATTTAGGCCAGACAGGAGTCGAGTGACTTGTTTGCTCCATAGTACCCCTGAGCAGATGCGAAACGGTGACATCATTACTTACTTTGTGACAATGCCTAATGTGTCTTTGCATTGGAGGGGGGCGTTCAGAGAGGCTTATGCACTGAGGAGAATTACTGTAGATGGCACTGATAATAGGAAGCAGAGTGATCGATCTGATGATGCACATTAACAATGGTGTAATGAATAAGGATGTAGCCGGGAGATAGACTCCAAGGTCTCAGGGTGCTCCTCCTCTGACCCCTGATTCCCCTCCTCTCCTCCCCACCAGTGTAGTGCATTAATAACCTATCACCAACATGAAGCCAGAGAGCAGAGAGAGAGGTGAAGTTTATGCTGTCCAAGCCAAGGACAGATGCACAGCACACAGACTTCCTGCTCTGACCCTGTCCTAGACCCAAGGTCTATCTGATGAAGCCTTCTAGCTCAGAGCCACTGATCTCAATGCTGTGGACAATGACAAAGGATCCAGTGGCCTCCTTCTGTTGGACCTTAGTTTAGTCCATGGCTGATGTTCTCCCTGTCTTCCTTTCTACTGCAGTACAGTAAGATGACGCTGTTGGTACTCTCTGAGTTGTTATGAAGGGTTTCTGTCTCAGTCCCCCCTACCCTGGTTTTTATAGATGCTTACACTGGAATGCTGGTGCTAACATATTTGCATAATGATGTTATGCTACATTTAATCGGCTTATGATGTAGTTCCACAACAAAGGTGTGAATGAGGTCTGGCTATCAGTTCAGATGAAAGGTCATTTTAAAGGGGTATTGTACTGTAATGGGACAGTAAAGGGAAATCCGCTGTAGTCAATTACAGATTATACTGTCTCGTGTGAAAATAATACACTTTACTCTTTTTTTGTGTGTTTATGGAAATCCTTCTGTTTTTTGTTTAAACCCTGTCTGAAACCACAGAGTATTCTATGTGTTCTGTTTTGGAGATTAGGGGGGATTTCAGTAGTCAGCTGCCATGGTAGAGAACAGTTGTGTTGGGGGGTTAACCCTCTCTCCACCTCTGACCCCGAGGCATAGGACAGCTAGTATCAGGGTCTGTATCTCACAGATTACAGGTGTTGACTAGTGACAAATGGGACACTGCTCAGCTGCAAGCCAGTGGATCATCGTTCATCCTGTCATTGTCCCCAAGAGTTACAGGGCATCGGCTTGAAGGAGCCATTATTGTGATTGATGGATCGTTGTGTGTGTATGGACCTATGTTGAACTCAATATACTGCTGGTTGTGTCTAAGAAAACAACAGCAACCATGGAACTCCACTCCACACATTGAGAGAGAGAGATCTGTGATGTTCAATTCTGTGTGTTTGCCTTGTTGCAGGAAGTGGATTTGTACAGAGCCAACATCCAGGACAAGCTTGGTTTGACTGTCTGCTACAGGACTGACGATGAGGACGAGACTGGGATCTACGTCAGTGAGGTATGTAGCACACCTATAGCCATGGCCAGATACACACATAATTTTTGTGTTGGTTAAAGTGGTTATACACGAGAAAGAAACGAGACAAGCCCTTTCCTTGGTGCCCCCTCCCTGGTATACTGTTGTCACGGTTAGGATGTAAAGAAGAAAAAGTAATAATGGGTGCTGGTTGGATACAACTTCATTTATCATCTTGTGGTCACTATAGTAACAGACAGAACACAACCTGAGTTAAGAATATCAAAACCTGCAGAAAATAATTCTCAGAACTTTGTTTCTTTATGCTGTGTCTTTCCTCTGTGACTGAAAGTCTGCTTGAAATGAAAACATGCCCTGCTCTATTTCCTTAGATTGACCCAAACAGCATCGCTGCAAAGGATGGCAGGATCAGAGAGGGAGATAGAATTATCCAGGTAAGGATAAACACTCTCAATACTTACAAGGAACTTTATAATAATATATTATGCATTACCTTTTTGGAGCCCGACTCTGATTCCATTCCTCCTCTTCTTTTCTCCATTTAGATCAATGGAATTGAGATCCAGAACCGAGAGGATGCTGTGGCTTTGTTGACCAGTGAGGAGAATCAGAATGTGTGCCTACTGGTGGCCAGACCAGAGATCCAGGTAAACTCACCACCCACCTCCTAGACCCTCTCTAGTACTAGGCATGTATAGACTGTATTAGTCTGTTTCCTGAGTTGTACTGTAGCCTTAATTGGCAGAGACTAACGTCCTCCTCCCTCTCCCTCCTCCTCTCTCTTGTCCCCTGTGTCCCAGCTGGATGAGGGTTGGATAGATGACGACAGGAACGACTTCCTGGATGACCTCCACATGGACATGCTGGAGCAGCAGCACCACCAGGCCATGCAGTTCACCGCCAGCATGCTGCAGCAGGTACGGTACAGCAGCCAGCATAGAGCACTGTAGACACACACAGTACACACAGCCTGAGTCAACAAGATGGCTCGATCAATCACAGATTCACATATGCTCACCTGCATGTTGCTGAAGATGAGCCAATTCCAGACAGGGTAACATATGCTCAGTTACCATAATGGCCCACATTACTTTACATACTGAAATGTAGTAGCAGTGATGTGGTTAGGTTCACATAGTCAATAATAAGTACAGAGAAAACTCATCTAATAATGTGTGTTAAAAGGTTATTAAATTATTAATCCTATTGTCTGGTGTTGCAGAAGAAGCATGAGGAGGATGGTGGAACAACGGACACAGCCACCCTGTTGTCCAACCACCACGAGAAGGACAGTGGGGTTGGCCGCACCGACGAGAGCACGCGCACCGACGAGAGCACGCGCAATGACGAGAGCTCTGAGCAGGAGAACCTGGGGGACGACCAGACCACGGCCTCCAACACGCTGGGCAGCCGCAGGATGCTGACCTATAGCCAGGACACCCTGGGTAGCACTGACCTGCCCTTCAGCAGTGAGTCCTTCATCTCTGCAGACTATGACCATGCTGACTTCCTGGGTATCCCCGCCGACGAGTGCGAGCGCTTCCGAGAGCTCCTGGAGCTGAAGTGCCAGGTGAGGAGCGCGGGGGGCCCCCAGGGCCTGTACTGCCAGAGTGCCGGGTCCGGAAGTGCCGAGGAGGGGGTGGACAAGGAGCTGGACATCCTGAACGAGGAGCTGCGCAGCATCGAGCTTGAGTGCCTCAACATCGTCCGGGCCCACAAGATGCAGCAGCTGAGGGAGCAGTACCGCGAGTCCTGGATGCTGCACAACAGCGGCTTCCGCAACTACAACACCAGCGTCGATGTGCGCCGCCACGAGCTCTCCGACATCAACGAGCTGCCCGAGAAGTCGGACAAGGACAGCTCCAGCGCCTACAACACCGGAGAGAGCTGCCGCAGTACCCCCCTCACCCTGGAGCTGTCCCCAGACAACTCTCTCTGCAGGGGGGCAGAGAACCAGGGCGAGCCCGGGGCCTACAGCAGCACAGGGCTCAACAACAGGATCCTCAAGCCCCTGCTGTCTCCTGTCCAAGAATCCGATGGCCCCAGCAGAATCAGGCCCTCCTCCTCTAAGGAGTCTGAGTGTGGCCTGCAGGCGGAGGAGACGGAGTGTAAGCTGGGAGAGTCTACTCACAAGCTGGCCCAGCCCCGCTCCCCATACAAACATGCCCACATCCCGGCACACGCCCAGCACTACCAGAGCTACATGCAGCTGATCCAGCAGAAGTCTGCCGTGGAGTACGCTCAGAGCCAAATGAGCCTGGTCAGTCTGGTCAGCCGCAGTGACCCTGTGACCCCCGGAGACATGCTGGAGCCCAAGAAGGAGTGGAAGGTGAAGATCCGCAGCGATGGCACACGCTACATCACCAAGAGGCCCATCAGGGACAAGCTGCTGAAGGAGCGCGCCCTGCGTATCCGCGAGGAGCGCAGCGGCATGACCACAGACGATGACGCCATCAGCGAGCTGAAGATAGGACGGTACTGGAGCAAGGAGGAGAGGAAGCAGCATGCGGTGCGCGCCAAGGAGCAGAAGCAGCGCCGCGAGTTCATGAAGCAGAGCCGCGCTGACTGCCTGAAGGAACAGGCCAGCCTGGATGACGACAAGAAGGAGCCCAACATCATCGAGCTGAGCCACAAAAAGATGATGAAAAAGAGGAACAAGAAAATCTTTGACAATTGGATGACTATCCAGGAACTTTTGACCCATGGTGCTAAGTCGCCTGACGGCACGCGAGTGTACAACTCCCTCCTGTCCGTCACCACAGTGTAGTAGGCAGACAGGACAGGACAGGACAGGCCTGGGGTGTAATGTACTGTAAATAGGACACTACCGATTGGGGTAGAGATTCCTGCCTCGTTCAATGTGGCAACATTTTGTAAATATAAAACAGGTAAAGCCTTTCTGAAGGACCTTTTGGCCCCTGCGGGTGGTTGAGGGATACTTTACAGAGTGTTCCATGGATGGACGTTGAAGATTATAATTGACAGGATAAGGATGATAAAAGACTGTTTTCAAATGCTTTCAATAACTTTCCCACTGGGCACAGATGTCAATTCAACGTCTATTCCACATTGGTTCAACGTAATTTCATTGAAATGACGTGGAAATAACGCTTAATCAACCAGTGTGTGCCCAGTGGGTTTCTACCTTTGTTCTGTGTGTCAAGACGGTGTGTCAAGACCGTGTGTCAATCCAACATTTACATATTTTGTTGTTTTATTAATTTTCTAACAAATATCTCTTAGCAGTATTTTACTGGTATACACTATATATACAAAAGTATGTGGACACCCCTTCAAATTAGTGGATTCGGCTATTTCAGCCACACCCATTGCTGACAGGTGTATAAAATTGAGCACACAGCCATGCAATCTCCATAGAAAAACATTGGCAGTGGAATGGCCCATACTGAAGAGCTCAGTGACTTTCAATGTCGCACCGTCATAGGATGCCACCTTTCCAACAAGTCAGTTCGTCAAATTTCTGCCCTGCTAGAGCTGCCCCGGTCAACTGCTGTTATAATGAAGTGGAAACGTCTAGGAGCAACAATGGCTCAGCCGTCTGTCCTCGGTTGTAACACTCACTACCAAATTCCAAACTGCCTCTGGAAGCAACGTCAGCAAAATAACTGTTAGTCGGGAGCTTCATGAAATGGGTTTCCATGGGCGAGCAGCCCCACGCAAGCCTAAGATCACAATGCGCAATGCCAAGCATCGGCTGGAGTGGTGTAAAGCTTGTCGCCAATGGACTGGAGCAGTGGAAACGCGTTCTCTGGAGTGATGAATCATACTTCACCATCTGGCGGTCCGATGGATGAATCTGGGTTTGGCGGATGCCAGGAGAACGCTACCTGCCCCAATGCATAGTGCCAACTGTAAAGTTTGGTGGAGGAGGAATAATGGTCTGCGGCTGTTTTTCATCATTCGGACTAGGCCCCTTAGTTCCAGTGAAGGGAAATCTTAACGCTACAGCATACAATGACATTCTAGACGATTCTGTGCTTCCAATTTTGTGGCAACAGTTTGGGGAAGGCCCTTTCCTGTTTCAGCATGACAATGCCCCCGTGCACAAAGTGAGGTCCATAAAGAAATAGTTTTTTCGAGATCGGTGTGGAAGAACTTGACTGGCCTGCACAGAGCCCTGGCCTCAACCCCATAGAACACCTTTGGGATGAATTGGAACGCTAACTGCGAGCCAGGCCTAATCGCCTAACATCAGTGCCCGACCTCACTAATGCTCTTGTGGCTGAATGGAAGCAAGTCCCCGCAGCAATGTTCCAACATCTAGTATAAAGCCTTCCCAGAAGAGAGGAGGCTGTTATAGCAGCAACTCCATATTAATGGCCAAGATTTTGGAATTAGATGTTCAATGAGCAGGTGTCCACATACTTTTGGTCATGTAGTGTACATACCTTTTGCTTATTGAAAGAAATACACAAATATTTAGCTTCAAGGTCAACACATAATCTGCAAAAGACTGTTGTAAATGTAACTCAACCTCATTGTTTTTTTTTATAAACAAAACACTTTTTAGTTATTGAAGATCTCATTGGGTGCTGTTTTTAAAAAGTTATACAACCAGTGGGTATCATCTGTTACATATTCCACCTTCAAGAAGTGATATTGTGTATGTATCAGGATAGAGGAAAACTGTCACGCATTTGTTGAAATCAGAATCTTTCTATGTTATTGTTGAAGCACAGTGTAGTCGCCTTACCTTCGTAGGACTCCAAATAACACAGTTTAACAAATCCTTACTTAGCCACCCAATTTGATGTCTTTAAAAAATGAGAGAAATAATAAATTATTGTTTTATATTTGATGAGCTTTCAAACACTGGTGTGGGATTTTTCATTTGCAGGAGGTTATTAATAGACCTACTTAGTCAGTGTGGGTAGATGTCAGGTGAGTAAAGGAGAGAACAAGTCTTATACAGCATCAGCCTACTGTATATGCTTTGAAGATGCCTTAGTAAATTACTAATGTGATATGGGAACTAGTAACCTAAACTCAGCAAAAAAAGAAATGCCCCCCACACTGTCAACTGCGTTTATTTTCAGCAAACTTAACATATGTAAATATTTGAATGAACATAACAAGATTCAACAACTGAGACATAAACTGAACAAGTTCCACAGACATGTGACTAACAGAAATTGAATAATGTGTCCCTGAACAAAGGGGGGTCAAAATCAAAAGTAACAGTCAGTATCTGGTGTGGCCACCAGCTGCATTAAGTACTGCAGTGCATCTCCTCCTCATGGACTGCACCAGATTTGCCAGTTCTTGTTGTGAGATGTTACCCCACTCTTCCACCAAGGCACCTGCAAGTTCCCTGACATTTCTGGGGGGAATGGCCCTGGCCCTCACCCTCCGATCCAACAGGTCCCAGACGTGCTCAAAGGGATTGAGATCCGGGCTCTTCGCTGGCCATGGCAGAACACTGACATTCCTGTCTTGCAGGAAATCACGCACAGAACGAGCAGTATGGCTGGTGGTATTGTCATGCTGGAGGGTCATGTCAGGATGAGCCTGCAGGAAGGGTACCACATGAGGGAGGAGGATGTCTTCCCTGTAACGCACAGTGTTGAGATTGCCTGCAATGACAACAAGCTCAGTCCGATGATGCTGTGACACACCGCCCCAGACCATGACGGACCTTCCACCTCCAAATCGATCCCGCTCCAGAGTACAGGCCTCGGTGTAACGCTCATTCCTTTCGACGATAAACGAGAATCCGACCATCACCCATGGTGAGACAAAACCGCGACTCGTCAGTGAAGAGCACTTTTTGCCAGTCCTGTCTGGTCCAGCATCGGTGGGTTTGTACCCCTAGGCGACGTTGTTGCCTGTGATGTCTGGTGAGGACCTGCCTTACAACAGGCCTACAAGCCCTCAGTCCAGCCTCTCTCAGCCTATTGCGGACAGTCTGAGCACTGATGGAGGGATTTTGCGTTCCTGGTGTAACTCCGGCAGTTGTTGTTGCCATCCTGTACCTGTCCCGCAGGTGTGATGTTCTGATGTACCGATCCTGTGCAGGTGTTGTTACACGTGGTCTGCCACAGCGAGGACGATCAGCTGTCCATCCTGTCTCCCTGTAGCGCTGTCTTAGGCATCTCACAGTACGAACATTGCAATTTATTTCCCTGGCCACATCTGCAGTCCTCATGCCAACTTGGAGCATGCCTAAGGCACGTTCACGCAGATGAGCAGGGACCCTGGGCATCTTTCTTTTGGTGTTTTTCAGAGTCAGTAGAAAGGCCTCTTTAGTGTTTTCATAACTGTGACCTTAATTGCCTACCGTCTGTAAGCTGTTAGTGTCTTAACGACCGTTCCACAGGTGCATGTTCATTAATTGTTTATGGTTCATTGAGCAAGCATGGGCAACAGTGTTTAAACCCTTTACAATGAAGATCTGTGAAGTTATTTGGATTTTTACAAATTATCTTTGAAAGGCAGGGTCCTGAAAAAGGGATGTTTCTTTTTTTGCTGAGTTTACATTACAAATTCAGGATTTCAATACAAAACGAAACATTAGATGGAGTATTAGCAAACATACAATAGCCTGACAATTCATGGCATTGTTCTTTTCAGCTACTGACTATAATCTCAGTTGAGGTCCATAATAAAGCTTAACTCCCTCACCATCACATTCAGATGAGGGCCATTCGTTTGAACAGAGGTGGAAGGATACTGAGTGTGTGCTCTGGGGATCTCTTCACTGGGTCTCAACACACCCAGCAAATAATGTACTTCTCACACACTTCTATCAGTTTGCATGGCCTACTTTTGCCATGCTCTCTCGGTACAATAATGAGTAAGAATTGTAAAGAACTATAAGGACAATTTTTTTTTTATTCCCGTTTTCATACTTTTCCTCAGTTTAAATACAGCTAAACTATTGGCCAAAAGGCAATGTTGTCCTGCCACTGCACCGCTGTTATGGCTGCCCCCAGTCTAACAACACCCTATTACTAATAATAGTCATGGTGTGGATTGAACCTGCCGTCAGAGATGCCCTGCCCTTGTCCACAGACTGCTGAGCAGATTCAGAGGAAGAGATGATATTTGAATTGAAAGAATTGCACTACAGTGCTTATTTGCTTATAGGGATACAAGCCAACTCATCCCTTCTTGAAATGTCATTAACCAATATTGGCAAGAGGAATTGTCCTTGTTACTGAATCACCATTGCCTAGGGGGCCATAAAGTCTGAGGAATCATGGCTGAGTGGTGTCCACACTTGACCGACCACTCTACCCAGGGGCCACTGACTGACCCCTATCTCCCCCACACTTCTCGCCTACACTTCTCCCCCACACTCTTCACAGAAAGAAACCAACTCCCAGAGAAGTTAAGAGTCGCTTGAATTACCGTTGTCAATTAGAAAACAGAACAGAGGCATATGAAACTTATCAATGCATGGATGATATACAACTTTACAATAATACATCTGTTTATCAGAAATGATTTGGTCTGTAAGATACCTGTGACCATCACAGCACAGTGATAGAATATTTGTCTAGTATCTTAATCTATGTTGATACATACACTGAAGTCAAGCCTGTGGACACTGATATGACTCTGTGTGCTTGTCTATCCATGTCTCCATGAGCCTTGTCACACTGTCTTAGATGTTTGAGTGCATCTCAGTGCGCCACAGGTTGGTGTCTATGTCCCAGACTGCATCATTTAAGGGGGATGATTATGATAATAAGAGTAGCTAAGGGAGTGGGCTCAGGCACTTCCTCTATGTCTACTGGAATGTAA